CAGGGGTCCCAGAGCTGGTGTTGGATCTCTGGTTGGGGGGACTAGTTCGGACACAGGGTCCAGGGTGTCCTGAAGCTTGTGTTGGCCTTCTAGTGGCCAGGGCTGGGGCCCAGCTGGTCCCAGGGTAGGGTCTGGCTGGTTGTGGGCCGGCTGGGTTTGCAGGCTGTGGAGCTGTGGTTTTCTTGCATCTGGCGTTTGCCCCCTGGTGGATGAGGCTGGTCTGGATGCTAGAGCCGGCTTCCTGAAGGGCAGGGTTGAGGCCCAGGGGATTTTGGGGCTGGTGGTGGCTGAGCTGGTTCCTGGGCCCTCTGGTGGGAGGGCCTTGTCCAGGGGTGGCTGTGGGCTCGGGGTTTCTCAAGGCAGCCTGTCTGCTGATGGGTGAACCTGTGTCCCCCGCTCGGTTAGTTGCTTGAGGCATCTCAGCAGTGGTGCCTGCAGGCTATTGGGCCAGGGCAGGGCTGTGTCCTGGGGCTAATAAGCTAGAGGAAGGGTTCCACAGTGGCCCTTCCCAGCACCAGTGTCCGTGTGGTAGAAGGAGTGAGCTTCCAAGAATGGCTGCCACCAGCACCTGTGTCCCCAGGGTGAGCTGCAGTGGCTTCTTGCCTCTCCAAGATCAGCAGGCCAGTCTGACCCAGGCTCCTGTCAAATTACTGCCCCTGCCCTGGGTCCTGCAGCGTGTAAGATTCTGTGTGTGCCCTTTAAGCATGAAGTCTATTTCCCTCAGCCCTCTGGCCCCCCCAAAAGTAAGTCCTTGTGGCCTTCCAAGCCAAGTGCTCTGGGGGCTTGTCTTCCCAGTTCAGGACCCCTGGGCTGGGAAGCCTGACATGGGGCTCAAACCCCTCCCTCCTTTGAGAGAACCTCTGCAATGTAATTATTCTCAAGTTTTTGTGCCCTGGGGGTATGGGACTTGACTATATCGCAAGTCCGTCCCTCCTTCCTATCTCGTGGTTCCTTCTTTGTCTTCAGTTGTGGAAGATCTTTTCTGGAAGTTTCCAGTCTTTTTCACGGATGGTTGTTCTGCCAATAGTTGTGATTTTGGTGTGCTCGTAAGAGGAGGTGAGCTCAGGTGCTTTCTACTCCACCATCTTGGCCAATCCAGGAATTTTGTAATGCTGAGCCAGCATCCTTCCAGAGCCATTTCCCAGGCAGTTAAATACAGCCACGCACAGTCCTCTGGGCCGGAGCCTGAGCTAATTAGGGAGTCTTAGTTTTAGAGCTGCTTTTCTCCTGTAATATGTCATTTTTAATGTCATAGCTTAGATAACTGTCTTGTCCAAGCATCTGGATCAGTTGTGGCAGAACTTACTGAAATGACGTAGCACATTTTTGGGGGGCAAGAAAGAAAATTTCTTACAGTTTCACACATTGGCAGGTGACTTATTCCATGAAAGACATGTTAAAATTGTCTTTAAACAGTTTATACAGGGCTTCCCTGGTGGTGCAGTGGTTAAGAATCTGCCTGCCAACACAGGGAACACGGGTTTGATCCCTGGTCCGGGAAGATCCCACGTGCCGCAGAGCAACTAAGCTCGTGCACCACAACTACTGAGCCTGCGCTCTAGAGCCCGCGAGCCACCACTACTGAGCCCGTGAGCCACAACTACTGGAGCCTGCGTGCCTCGAGCCCATACTCCACAACAAGAGAAGCCATCGCGATGAGAAGCCTGGGCACCACAGCAAAGAGTAGCCCCCACTCACAGCAACTAGAGAAAGCTAGTGCAGCAACAAACACCCAACGCAGCCAAAAATAAATAAATAAATTTATAATTAAAAAAAGAACAACTCTTAGTCGTTCTAATAAAGAGATGGGATTAGGTCCTTCATTCGTTCAAATCTTTTCTTTCAAACTCTTATCCTGATATTAGACACATTATCCTATTTTTTCATAGAAAAATGTTTTATTCCAAGGCATTTATTTACAGCATCATTAACAAATAAGGTATTGTATAGAGATGAATTTTCCAAGCACCTAATATTCTCCCTTAAACACTAAAACTTTTTATCCTACCCTAAAATGTATCTTATATATTTCTACCTTTTTAAGGGTTAGAAATATAATAGCTAAGGCAGAAAAATATAATTTATAAAGTAGAAGAATAATAGCTGTCATTTCTTCAGGTCCCCATGTGCTAATAACTCCTGTAAGTCTTTGGAGTAAGACCTGTACAGATGAGGAATCTGAGCCCAGCTAGCCATGCATCCAAGGCAGCGTACAGGCCCCATTTCCTGTCTCAGCCGTCGGCTGTGTGCAGTGAGGTGCTTAGAGTCCCTGAGTTGCGTACTCCTGTTTAGACTCAAATCGTGTGTTCCTGAGTTTTCGTTTTTCTTTTAAAATGGCTTCTCTATCTCTTCTCTGTCAAGCATCACATGTGCCTATTTTTATTGCCTCCCCTCTCTTTAGCTGGGCTAGAAAATCAAATTATGGAACTTAAAATAATCACTTTTAAAATAAATAAAAATGAAGGTATTAATACTCTTCCACACTTATTTTACCCACCAGACAATAACATTGCTTCATTTAGTTTTTTCATTGATCACGTGGTGTGATTTTTTAATGTTCTGGAAAAGTGAACGCCTGATAATTAACCCCTGACCTTGTTGACAGTGCTTTAAGACATAAAAGAACAAGAACTTCAAGACATTTGACTAAACTGTTTTTCACATTAACAAGTTTAATATCAATGTTTAGTCTTCAGAAAGTGTCAAAAGGGTGGGGGTGATGTGTAATTGTACTGCCAAGGATTTTTCTGACATGACTCTAGTATCTCATAATAATGCCTAGTTTCCTAAAAAGCCTTCTTGCCACCTTTAAAGTGACTGTGCTGTCATCTTTGTAGAAAAATAGAGTGTAACGGTCACCAGTTGCTTTAGGTCATGGTCATCCATCAGTTAGACCCGTGCTGTGGAGCAAAATGTAACCCTTTCTATGACCAGGACCACGCTTGTGGGTGGAGTGTTCAGTTAGGGTTAGGTTCACTGACATTTGGAGATTAGTTAATACCGCTTTGTTTTGGATGTAATTCTATGTGTATTTTAAACAAAACATGCTGGGTAATGCGTAGGAAGATAGATATTCTTTACACTGTACTTTCATATAAAATCATAAGCGATTTAACAGATGTATGTCATTCACTGTCTTGAAATTGGTATTATAAAATTGTATTTAAAGAATAATTCCATCCAACGCGAATTCTGAAGTTCTGCCATTTCTCACCATCAGCCCCTTGTGCCCCTCCCTCCCACCCTCGGGATATAATAAACCATCTTCTCCGACAACCACATTTTGCTTTTCTCTGTCACAATAAGAGCTTTTGATCAGCAGAACTAGGCTTTCAATACCGAGTTGACTGGAGACAGAAAAGGATGCTGGATCTAGTGTGTGTGCAACTTCAGCATAGTTGGTTCCTATAGGATTCCTTTAGACTTTATTTGAAATAATGGAAACTGCTCCTGGCCTCCTTTCTGGGGTTTTAGAGAACTCAGTTTTGGAACTGCTCTTTTGAGTCTTTCAGCCCATTTAAAATGACACGTTTCAATTGTGTTCATAGGTAGTGAGTGGTTCAGGGATAAAGGACTGGATTGAGTTAAACCTGGATTTACTCCCAGCGGCTGCCAGCAATTCCCTTAATCTCTTAATTAATGCCTCAATTACTCTATTCTCCAGTTTCTTTGTTTGTTGGTACTTAAAGTTCTGGGAAGAAAGGTGCTATGAATGAAAAACATAGCCAACACGAATAAGTTGAAAATATGAAAAAACGTGGCATTTAAAAATTAACCTCTATATGAGTTATTCTAACCAAAAGTGTTTCTGCCTGAATGTTTGTAAAAGAAAAACGGGGCTGCTGTCCCATTGAGCGCCTCGAAAAGTGGAGCGAAAATTATATTTGGAAAACATTAAGGCCCTGTTTTTTTTGGTTTTGTTTTTACATCTTTATTGGAGTATAATTGCTTTACAGTGATGTGTTAATTTCTGCTTATAACAAAGTGAATCAGTTATACATATACATATGTTCCCATATCTCTTCCCTCTTGCGTCTGCCTCCCACCCTCCCTATCCCACCCATCTAGGTGGTCACAAAGCACCGAGCTGATCTCCCTGCGCTATGCGGCTGCTTCCCACTAGCTATCTATTTTACGTTTGGTAGTGTATATATGTCCATGCCATAAATGCTGGAGAGGGTGTGGAGATAAGGCCCTGTTTTGAGTGCCGTGAGTCTGAGCTACTCCAGTCCTTGACACCTGAGTCCTAAGGACCGTCGAAGTGAGCCTTATTTCTCTGCGGCCAATTTCTTCTCTCAACTCTGGAGCATTTATTCTACTCCGTAGAGGAAAGCCATGTACTGATTTGTGCTGTTTGTCAATCGCTTGCTTTTTCTTGAATGTAATTGCTACTCTCTGATGAAACGTTCAGATTTCCTTGGAAAAGAATAAATAGCTTTAAACACTTTATTAAGCACGTGTATGTCATTCTCTGGGATGTTTAGCCAAACGGCCAGCTCTTCTCGGTGGGAAAGAGATCCAGCCCTGCACAGCACAATTCAAGGCTCCCGCTTGAGCCAAGTCCTCAGGTCCCGAATTTCCCGCTGACCCGCTCCTGGGCGAGGCCGCCAAGCCCCCGTCCACCCCCAGACCCTTCTAAGTCGGGCTGCACGGAGACCAGGGCATCGGCCCCGAGCTGACCGCTGCTCTGGGGGCCGCCCCCGCAGGGCCAGGGCCCGCCCTCGGCAGCCCAGCTCCAGCTCCAGGTCCTGGCCCCGCACACGCCCCCCTCCCCCGCCGCCCCCACGTCCAGGAGCTGAACGTCCCGCCCCACGCGCGTCCCCGGGCCCCGGGCGGGCGCGGCAACGGAAATCGAGTACGGGAGAGGGATGCGGAACTGCAGCCAGGGACGGGGGAGGGGGCGTGCGGCCTTTGAACAGTGGGGACTGGGTGGGGCGGCCCAGTCCTCGCGAGATTTCGGCCCTGACGAGAGGCTGCAGCGGCTCGGCGGCGGGTCTGGGATGCGCTCGGAGAAGGAGGGAGAGGGGGGCCCAGGGTTGGCAGTTAGTACGCGGGGTCCGAGCGGGAAGGAGAAGCCGTCGCCCACAGAAAGCCACTTCCGCCGGGAGTCTCAGCAGCGGGAGCCTGAAGCGCCGGCAGCTTCGTCCTCCGGCTGTGGGGGCGGTGCAGTCGAACCTCGCGAGGAAAAGAGGACGGTCCTCAGCAAGGTGGGGGCGGGGCGATGTGAGGGGCGGGGGCGAAGGTGCGGTAGCCCTGCTTCAGCACCGCGGACAGCGGCCGGGCCGCGCTGGCCCCGCGGCGTCTGGGCTGCTAGGGCGCCCTTGACGCGATCTTTTCTGGCTTTGGAGGAAGAAAAGTCACTTCAGCCTGTAGGTGTTTCCCGTCGAGGCTGGGACGCTGGGCTTACCAGTGCCGGGCAGTAGCCTTCCACGTTGCCGAGGGTCCGGTCCGGTCCAGGAGAGACGGCGCAGCCGGGAGAGCAGAGCCCGTGGCGCTGGAGTGGACGCGGGTGGACCCTGCGGGCGGGAGGCGGAAGGTGCTGCTGTGGATGTTGCCCTGCATGTACCTTACCTCCTGGTAGGGAGCGTGGAGGCGGGCACATACCAACAGTTACCTGGTTTTAATGAGAAGATTTCATGAAAAACGGCTGCTATGCCCAGCCTTTTCTGACCTCACCGATCCCTTTTACATTATGCAGCCCTTGTTATTCTTTTGACAGCCATGTTCTCCATGCATATATTCCTTAATCTTTACTAAAATGCGTGTTTCTGCTGGACTCCTGGGTTAGATTTTACTCTGAGCATAAACACAGGTGACCAAGCTTTCAGGTAAGCTTAATACAGTACTAGTGAAAGGAAACCCAGCCAGCGTTTCTCCCCAGGTGGTCATCCGGCGGCTTCCTCCCAGCCTCACCAAGGAGCAGCTGGAACAGCAGCTTCACCCCCTGCCCGCACATGATTACTTCGGGCTGTTTACTGCTGATCTCAGGTGAGAAGATTTTACCAACGTTAAGAGGCTGAGAGGGAGTTCCCTCGTGGCCTAATGGTTAGGACTCGGAGTCCGGGTTCAAACCCTGGTCGGGGAACTAAGGTCCCACCAGCTGTGCGGCACGGCCAAAAAAAAAAAAAAAGGCTGAGAGGTTTTGTCAGTTGATGGTAAAGGAATATAGATAATAGAAGCCATCTCTGTTTCCATCTTCTTTGCCACATGTACGCGGCAATCAGTGCAGACCTTTATTTCTGCAAGTTATTTCTAAGTAGGCAGATAATTAAATTTCCCTAAAATAGATTTGAAGATCTCCATAGCACCACCATAGCCTAAAAAGGAAAGCAGTCTAGCAGCGTATTAATTTTTTTATTTTGCATATCACTAAACCTTATTTTATATAACCTTTTAAAGTAAATTGTACTAAGATATAAGAAAGAAAAGTGAATAAATAATAGATGTATAACCTAATGAATTTTACAAGTGAACACACCCATGTAACTAAGACCAGATAAAGAAGCAGAATATTCCAGACCCCAGAAGCCCCTTGTGTTCCCTTCTATCACTGACATCCCCACCCTCCACTAATGCCCGCTAAGTTATATCTTCTTCAGTTACCTTTTACAGCTTGGTAGGAAGATGTTTCTGACAATAATTTAACACTTCAAAATCTCCTTTTTATTAAAAAAGAGAGAAGACCTCAAGTTAGCCCAACAGATGACAGTTCAGCTAGAATTTGGTGATTTTCACTATGTGATTTCTTACTGTCTTTATTATTCTTTTTCTCTTCAATATCATGAGTTCTCATTTATGGTAGCCATTATAAACTTTCCTTTTGAATAAATACCTTTAAGTAAAAAAAATGTCAGTTCAGTCAAAGAAAAATATCACAGGTAAATGTAGATTTGGTTAAAAAAAACCCAACATAAACATGATTTTTTGAAATGGCTAAAGTTTAGGAAAACTAGTACAGTTACAGGAGGTCAGGCACTGGCCTCAGAGTGACTCAGATTGGAATCCCAGTCCCACCATTTTACTAACTGCTTCCTCTGTGAGCACCTAATTTCTCTGAGCCTCAGTGTTCTCATCTGTGAAATGGGCTTGAAAGTTCCCACCTGTGAAGGACATTGGTAGCTGTGAGCTAGAGGGGAAAGGCTTAGTTCTTCTGTAGATCGTATGCCATGTGCTACAATAAATACCCTTTTAAGATACCTAAATGTGTTCTCTAAATCAGTAAAGGAGCTCTTTTACAGTGCAACATTTCCTTCTCTGAATGAATCGTGACTAGGTTGTATTGCAGTCATGATACGTGATTAGGGATGATCTTTGAATAACCTTGCCTTTGATTTTCTACCTCTGACGACCAGTATTTTAACCCTGGCTCTGTGCAGTAGAAAAACCAACCTAAAGTGTCTCTCCCAAATCATTAAAAAGATCTCGGTTAATATTTTGTTTGTTTTTGGTTTATTTGCTCAAGAATATCCAGATTGCTGTAATTAACTGAGAAATGGTTCTTTGGCATAAAGGTTTTATCTGCAGTAGTTTGTTGTATCCAGAAAAGAAGAAGAAAAAAAAAGACAAAATTAAACGAAGTCTTAAGTTTTTTACTGTTTTCATTGTTATCTCTTCTTTCAGTCTTTATCCTCATCTCTATTCAAGAGCATACATTAATTTTAGAAATCCTGATGACGTCCTGCTTTTTAGAGATCGTTTTGATGGATATATCTTCATTGACAGTAAAGGTTGGGTCATTGGCTTTTTAAACTCTTTATTGTAATTTCTAAGTACATTAATTAAGTTTTGCTGGATGTTTGTGAATTTTAATTGAGTCCTTAGATGCTAACCCAAAATAAATTCATAAATTTTGAGTACGTTATTGTGATTATGGGCTTATGTTTAAAATTAAAATTGCATATAAACCAAAGAATTATAGCAATTTTGTGTAGTAGTGACAACCTTGTTAGGTATTATCATCAGAGAGTGAAGTTTTTCACATAAATGAGTTTTCTGGATAAGTGAACTTTTTACTCCTTTACGTTCCCAAAGTAAATTATTTTATCCTGGTGCTATGTACTAGCCGTCATGGATGCAGCACTGAAAATGAAGCAGACATTGTCCCTGTCTGTCTGAAGCCCTGTTCTCCTCCTGATTCTTGACTTTATTCTCAGTAGTTGAGGATAAAATAAATACTCAAAAGTGTCTTCCAGATACATGAGAGTTAAAGTATCATAGCCCTCTGGCAAATGTGAAAGCGAGGATCACTCAGCGCGTTTGGCAGCAGGGTAGAAGTGTTCCCTCTCTTGGTGAGGCAGGTGCTGTCTGTGAGCGTTTCTGTGTGTCTGTTCCCCGCCACCCCTACATAACAACAGAGTCAGCTTCAAGTGACTTTCATTCTAGATTTTTCTCTTTGAAGCAGATCTTACCTGGATATCATGAACACCCTTTGAAACCCTCTCTTTTAGCTGAGTGTCTCTTGTAAACAAAGTCATTTCCTTGAACTCATATACCAGATTGATAATTGAATTAGCCTTTTAAAATTAAAAAATGTAAGATGTGACTAGGACACCTATTGAAAGGTATTCCAAAATAAACTCTTTGGTGGGAGAGCGATAAGGTTTATTGAGGTAGAAATTACATACGGTAAAAAATAAAAAAACCACTTTAAGGTATACAGTTTAATGAATTTTGAATGTATTCAGTCATGTAACCACAACTACAGTATGAGGAATTGTGTTATTTAGTAAATAAGTGCGCATCCTTTGTTTAAATCTGGAGTTTGATGTGCTAAGATTACTGTTACCTGAAAGTATAATTAAATTATATTTTAAACACTAATATTGTCAATGCTATGCTCAGTGCTTAAGTCAGCTAGACTGTTGTTTTAAAATGAACACAGTAGAATTTCAGAATGGCTTTTGTAATTTGTTTCCTGTTAAAGGCCTAGAATATCCTGCAGTGGTAGAATTTGCTCCATTCCAGAAGGCAGCCAAAAAGAAGCTAAAGAAAAAAGACACCCAGACCGGAAGCATTGAAGATGGTGAGGCCTTTCTCAAATGCTGGATTGTGAAACTGCATTAAACACAGTGGTCAAATTAAACACATTGATCAAATATAATTTCTCTCCCTATATGGGGAAGAATATATTTATTTTCTTTCTATCTTAATTTACAGATCCAGAATATAAGAAGTTTTTAGAAACTTACTGTGTGGAGGAGGAGGAAACTAGTGCCAGTCCTGAAACTCTTCTGGGGGACATAGAGGCAAAGACAAGAGAACTCATTGGTCTGTTTTGCTCATTTTTTTCCTCTTTACTTTACTGAGATATGTATTTATAGAGTATATATTTGTTTTTCCTTTTTCATGATTATTGTAGAAAATTGACACATGTGACAGGCTTGGCAGAAATACAGAGTATTTCCCAGTTTTGACAAAAGGAAAAGGGTGGCAGGATGGTAACTTGGGAAAATATTTCTGAGCATCTGTTGATTGAGGGAGAACACCTGAGTTTTCAGTTACAGTCACTTTGTTTCAAAGTTATGACGCTTCTGAATGAGCAGTAGACATTTGAGTGCCGTGTGCCGGGCTGCATCAGGTAAGCTTATGTCTCAAAGTTGAAGTCAGTCATCTTTGCAAAGAGCAGTCATAGAAAGGAGATGCTTTGCTTAAGTATGAGGTCATCTTGCTGTTGCTCAAAAAACTATCAAGGCCCCTGAGCGAGTGAGGCAGATGAGTGGATAAGCCCAGCCAGAGCACAGAATCTGGTTTGAATCAGGCCTTCAGCCCTCTACCCCCAAGTGGAATATTTTGGAAACGGCTCTCTCCTAGCAGCATTCCCCCAGAACTCAAGGGTAGACGTGAAACTCCTTTCTCTATCAGGCAACCTGCTTGTCTCTCCCAAACGTGCTTGTAAGTGTCTCCCTTCCTGCCTCTGCCGGGGCTGGGGCCTCACCGAGCAGCCCGGTGCCCCTCCCACCTGTTCTGCCCTCCCTTCCCCATGCCTATCTCCTGCTCACCCACCAAGACTTACAGGACAGAATGTTACAGTGTTGATAATTTATCTTATCTGTCTGTCTCTCTCTGCATTAACTCTCCTCTTACTTTGTCTCTCCACCCCCCAAGAGAACTGTATTTTTGTCTTTGTAGTCTTAGCACGTGATACATTGCTTGGACAAGTTTAGGTATTTGGTAAATATGTGTTGAGTAAATTAATAAAAAAAGGTTGACATTATTGAAGCATTCTTCGTTAGTCTAATAATGAAGTTTTATATTTTGTAAGAGGTGATTTAACGTGTGGCTCAAAGGATCTTTAATCACTAAAGTATTTATGGAGATGTGCTTAGCCCATGTCGACTGGGTACCGACTCTGAGCCTGGGCACGGGGGCAGCACTGGAACAGGACACACAGGCTTCTGCCCTCATGCAGCTGCCCTCCTACTGGGGTGACTGTAGCAAACACATGCAGAAATGCTCAAGCCAGAGTATTTCCACTTGTGATAAGTGCCACAGACGTAATGGAATAGAATAATGGGATAGAGAGAGGCCCCTCTGAGACGTATTTGAGCCGAGACCAGCTGGGCCAAGAGATGGAAGAAGACAGAACTCCAAACACAAGGGCTGGAGGCTGGAGCTCTGGGCCTGCAGGAGCGGGGCACACGCCTGTGTGGTTGGCACATGGTGGGCAAGGAGCAGAGTAGCTGGGGAGGTGGGACCACAGCATGATGGGCTGGATTTTATTTGAGGGACAGCTGGGGACCGAGGGAGTGATGTGGTCTGATTGATTTTTTTCCCCGTCACTCTGGTTGCTCCATAAGATGGAGAAGCTGGGCTCTGGTTAGGAGGCCCTTGCTGTCGTCAGGGAAGGCTGCTTGAACGAGGGCGGCAGAGTCAGCATGTGTTCTGGAGGTTGAACTGACCAGCCTGGCTGAGGATTGGGTGTGAGGGTAAGAAAGCAGAAAGGATCAAGGCCTCCAGGAGCCTGACTTGAGCAGATCAGTGGGTTATGGCACCAGGACTGACATGGGGAAGAAACGGTATTGAGGGCAAATCATGACTTCACTGTAGAAAATGATAAATTTCAGAAGAGTTAAACGAAGCAGCAAATTAGAAATTATTTACAGAACTCGCCCTCCTCATCCTGTTTCTTTACTGCTGCTGCTTAAGTGCCCTTGTACAGGGGCCGCGGCAGGGAAATAGCAAGGTCTTTCACTTCTGGGCAGTTGTTAGATATCCACTTGCTGATCATACACATCCCCTACGAGTCCAGCCACCCTCCTCAGAGGAGGGCCGAGCCTGTCCTCTCCCGTTCCCAGCACCTCGCCCAGTGCTTGGTGCACAGTAGGTGCACCGTAATTATTTACTGAATGAATAAATGTGACTTAGAATCCACTAGCCCAGGACGAGCCTGTACAGCTTTGTGACTCCTCTTTCTGCCTGTTTAAATTTAGTCTTAATCAGGCAATTCGTGGCAAATGCCTTTTTCTTAGATTTTGACCTTTAGTGGATTCTTATGGTCAGGGCTGAGCAGTGTGGGTTAAATGCAAATGTTAGTTCACTCTGAAGTTGCAGATTAGTGCAGGCATATCAGGGTCTTTAGAGCGCGGACAGACCTGGGCTCAGGTCCCAGCTCTGAGACTTAGCAGCCGTGGGACCGGCTTCCTCATAGGTGGTTGTCGCCAAGCCTAGTAAGCGAGAACGGTTCTACTGTTGGTTAAATCAGCGCTGTACTGTGTGGTTGCGCATCTTCTATTTAGTAAATGATACACTTTTATGGCTTGTAAAGCACTTTCTTATACAAGGTTCTATTTACCCACCACATCAGTCCTTGGCGGGAGCAAGGCGGGTGCTTGTAAGGAAGGAGGGAAGGCGGGTGGAGCCTCAGCATCGGCTCCCCAGCCCCACCCAGGTAGGTCTCAGCTCTGCCCTAGTTGACAAGCCCAGAACCACCGCCGTACAGGGCAGAGTCCTCACTCCTCTCCAGCCCCGCCCTGACCCCATGGGTACCAACATCTGTGGGTGCTTAAGTCCCCTCTGTAAAATGGCATTATATTTGCATGCAGCTTACCCACATCCTACTGTATACGGTAAGTCATGTCAGATTACTTGTAATACCTGATACACTGTGAATGCTGTGGAAATAGTTGCCACTGAGTTGCAAAGTCAAAGTTTTGCTTTTTAGAACTTTCTGGAATTTTCTTCCCCATATCTTTTTGATCCACAGTCGGTTGAATCTGGGGATGTGGAACCAGTGGATACGGAGGGCCGTCTGTATGTAAATACGTTATAACGTTTGGGAAGTTTAATGTATTGTTTTCATTTTGCTTTTTTGCTTTATACCATTTTGGTGAGTAATGTATGGGTCTCCCTTAAGAATCAGGAATTAAATGCCTAGTGTGTATAAGTCTGTCAGTACCTCCAAATTACTTGACTTTATAGTGATAGAGTAGGAGCTCCCCCAAATACAGTGTAGGCTCATGTAAGTTTTCAAATGATATAATCTTCCCTTAATTATTTTAAAGATTAGACTGAAAGCAAGTATTTAAAATAAAGAAATCTTATTTTAGAGTTAAATACTACATTGCAATTTTTGTATTTTAGCTAGAAGAACCACACCTCTTTTGGAATATATTAAAAGTAGAAAATTAGAAAAGCAGGTAGGTCTGGCCTTTTACCCGGTGAATAGCCTTCTTGTTCCCATCGTGTCCGTGCAGACAATTTATACACATACTTGCCACATCTTTAGAGAATTCGAGAAGAAAAGCGAGAAGAACGGAGGAGGAGGGAGTTGGAAAGGAAGCGCTTACGGGAAGAAGAGATAAGAAGGAGGAGGGAAGAGGAAGGGTGCAGCAGGAGAGCAGCAGGAGAGCAGCAGGAAACTGCTGAGAAGGCAGTAAGGAAGAAGGTAATTTTGAGGAGACATTTCATTTCTTTTTTCCAAAAGTAGTTCAACCTTTTAGGTATTTCAGCTCTTCAGAACTTTCAGAGCATTTTCATTAGTGTAGCCTTTCACTATTATAGTTCTTTTTCTCTGTTCTATGACAGTGGTTCTCAGATGGTGTTCCCTGAGCCCCAGGGCTTTCCTGAGCTTGCTGTGTTTGGGGGACCACATGGGTGGAAGAGTGGGCGAGGACCAGGTTCCTGGGTGTGACAGAAGCACTTCACCCCGAGGAGCCCACATTTAAATGTCGTAGGCTGGGCTTCTGCTTATATCTGCCTTTCAAGAAAGATTTCCTAACTAAAAAACTACACATTTGAAACCCGCTGGCTTTGTGTCTGCTGGCCTTTCTTTATGCCGACTGACTCATAGAACTGGGTTGTATCATTTCTTTTGTGGTAGCAGCAATGGTTTCTACATCTCTTGCCCAATTTTTCCTCTGACTGACGCATTCATTTAGGAGGGTGGTTTAATTCCCACAGAGGGAATTATCCTCTATGTAAAATTTATTGCCCAAATTGGGGTCAGCCCCTACCTTCTTAGTATTCTGCTCAGATGACTTTAAGCCTAGATTTCAACCTCATGTGAATCTTACCTCTTCCACAAAGGGTTTAAGGTGCCTTTTAGGGATTCATTAATATTGTATAATATAAAGGAAGAAAATGGAAGGTCAGGACTTGAGGGAACAGAGGCAGAAAGGAAAGGTTAGGGAAGAGACCACAGTTGCCATAGCTGAGCCATAGGTTAGTTTCTGATATGCTCGGCAGTCAGAAACAGAAACGTTGATCAGAAACATAGTTTTCATTATCCATGAGGAGAAAACATGGCATTTCTTCAAGGAAGGCAAAGCTTTTTCTAGGCCTTTGCGTCTAAAACAATGTCTCCCACAGGTGGTCCTATGGGGCTCACTAGCAATGGAGGGGATTTCTTAACCATATTCCTGTGAAACACACAGCCATCTGTATCGATCAGAACTGACTGGGCTATGCTGCAGTAAAAATAGTCTCAAGCTCTCATTGGTTTCATGCAGCTAAGGTTCGTTCTCTTCTTGTTCCCATTACGTGTCCATTGTGCATTGCTCATCATAGCCATTCAGTGAGCCACGCTGATGAGGCTCCATCTTGCATTTGCTTCCACAGTCGTTATGAAGCGGAAGGGGGTGTGTAACACAGCAGGTTGCACACTGGTTCTTAAACCTTCCACACAGAAGTGACAGGTCCCATCTGCCCACATTTCACTGGCCAAAACACGGTGCACGTCCCCACCTAATCTCAAGCTGAGGGACATTGCAAGTGCTAGGAGGAAAACCTGAAATATCTGATGAAAAGCACTAATGAATAACATAATCTCTGAAGACTGTTTCTTGAAATGTCTCTTTTTAAGTTTAAGGATTGGCTGAAAAACTCAACCTGATGGAAGGTGTGGGCCAGGTCATGTTGCTGCAGCACATTTACTGCAAAGATAAAACCTCAGTGGGCAAGATGAGTAGGTAGCCGTTTGACCCGCAAGAAATCAGCCAGAGTGGTTTCCTTCATTTTGGCTTTGATGACAATTGTTACACATCTGTGTAGTTTTAAAATCTCATAATCTGTTAATAACATGGATGCAATTGAGGAGCCCAGTCAAGATTATTAAATGAAGATCGTCCATCCCACCTCTGCCAGGACATGGACCTAATAATGGGCGTAGCCAGGGTGTGCCTCTGGAAATAACTCTGTGGTTTAAGTATGAACACGGTTCTTCATAACAAAAGTGTAGCAGATATACTTCCTATAACAATCATACGTAGTCTCAACAGTATAAACTAACAGCCCTTGAAAGATAATAAAATGAAACCTTAATATTACGGGAAGGCCTTTGTCATCTTGGAAAGACAGCTCTGTCATGACCGGGGGAAGTAGGTACACATCTACAGGTTGCAAATATTGTCTAGCCTTTTCCTTTACCTTTCTCAGCAAAGAATAGTAGCACCTAATGCTTTATATTCTGAAAAGCATTTTTGTCAACAGCTTTGAGAGTTTTTCAAGAAGAATCATTAAAATATGTAGCCTACAATTTTGCCTATAATTTTAACTAAGACTTACAGTATCTGGAATATAGCATTTTATTTTTACATGTTTGAATATGAAATTAGAATCCAAAATAAACCAAAGAAATAAAAACAAATTATGTCAGTAAAAGTAACTGTAGGACTCTTCATATAGAAAAAAAGAAACCAAAACATAGGCACAGCAAGAGAAAGGCTTAGTCTTATTGAATCTGGTAAAACAGAATCCTGGTGGCAGATTAGACCCCAGCGACATGGGCCGCCTACAGCTCTGTCCTTCGAATGTCTGGTGTTCTGACCTGACAGTACATATTTGACTCCAAGGGTAGCCTTTAAAGAGCGTCTGTGCTCAGTTTGGGGGTCTCTGACCTAAGATTCATCTAGAGAATTCAAATTAAAAAAAAAAAAAAAAAAAAGAAAACCTAAAAAATAAAATCTGTAAAGAAAAGCCCAAAAGAATTTGTATTAATACCCTAATAGTAAAGAGGCAGAGAGAGGTCCTCGTGGCTGTTTTTAACAGTAAAGAAGAATATGATTCAAGGAGAGCCACGCAGTGGTTTATTTTCCTCTGAGACTTGAAGACTAAGCAGTGAGCTCAAGTTGGAGTAGGAAGCCAGGTTACCAAAGTCACAAGTAAAATTCCCGAATGCTGTATATACATTGTAGGCTATACATACTGTTATCTGAAAGAGTTGTGCGATCTCTTCCACAAAGCTCTTTAAAAACAGGTGTGTGTGTGAGATAGGTTACACGCATGTAGAGCAAGCATAGATGTGGGCTGCATGGGGACACTTGGCCTGACCCCTGCTGCCCTCCCCGCTCCCCCCCCCCCCCCCCCACCAGACTCACGCCCTCTCATGAGTGGCCCCCCCACTGTCTGGTCCCTGCCTTCCCTGACCCCCTTGAGAAACCATTCCCCCTCCTCCCCTGCCCCACACCTCACTGTCCTTTTAGTCTGTTCATCATGTGTTTGTAGTGTTTCATACCACCTGAGATTATCTGGTTCACGGTTTTCTATTTTTGTCACTGTGTACGCCGTCCTCCCACCCCCATGGCCACCACTGCCTTGGCAAGACTACCGAGTGTGAGTCCTCAATTGTGGGCACTTGTCTCTTACCCACAGCTGCGTTCCTAGCACTGAGCCCAGGGTCTTTACCCCGGTTCATGGCACACAGCTGCTAAAGCCCTTGTCATCTCTGGAGTGACAGGAGTGTCCTCTGTATGCTAATGAGCTGACAGGTGGCCGGGACCCTGGATAGCTTCAGGATGGGAGCTGCTCATCAGAAAGCCCAGGCGTGATTATAGCATTGGAACCTCCAGCCCCATCCCCACCTCTAAAGAGGAAAAGGGTTGCAGATTGAGTTCAGTCACCAATGGCCAGAGGTTTAATCAATGATGCCTGTGTAACGGCGTCTCCATACAAGTCCCTGCAGCGTGGGGTTTGAAGAGCATCCCAGCTGGTGAACACACGTATCCTGCTGCCGAGGGGTGGAGCCGAGAGAGCCCTGTGCATCTCTCCCATTGGACTGTGCCTGAGTTGTATCCTTTATAATAAACCAGTAATAGTAAGTAAAGCACTTCCCTGAGTTCGTGAGTCAGTCTCATTCAAGAACCCCCTGAATTTATAGCCGGCCAGTCAGAAGTACTGGTGACAACCTGGGACTTGCAACTGGCCTCTGAAGTGGGGACAGTCCTGTGGGATCTGACATTAATTCCAGGTGGATAGTGTCAGAACTGGGTTGAGTCCTAGGACACCCAGCCTGTGCTGGACAGCTGGGGAGGTGGTGTTGGAAAAAGCTTTGGTTTCAGAAATATTGTAAAAACAGTTCATAGGTGCACAAAATTATTTGTTGGATGGATGGAGACTTACACTGTTGCACTGCCCTGTGGTTTGCATATATTAATTTTTTTAATTAAAAAAAGATACACTGTTGTCTGAAAGGATCCCCCATAGGCAGGTAACGTAGTCCACTGATGAGAAGCAGCTTGCAGCGTTTGCCTGACGGTCTGTGTTTCATCCTTAAATGGACTCATTTAGTCTAGGTGTATCTGTGTGTAGTTTTTGTCTACTGCAACTTACATAAGTTCACTTTTATAAGTGAGAACAAAATTCTCCCAAGTAGACTTCGGTTCATGTTCTACAAACTCACTGTACCTGTGGTGCTTAAAGTTCAAAGAGCAGGAACAGGGAGGAAGAGGCCCAGTTTCATAGCAAAATGAACGTATCATAGGAACCTTCTAAATCTGTTTCAAGAAAGAGAGTAATAGGTGTTTTTAAAACTATTCTCAGTCACTAATATAAAGCCATCCTTTAAAAAATTTTTTTTTCCTTATTACCAAAGTAATACTTGTTCATTTTAGAAAAACTGGAACGTGTAGATGAAAGGAAATCATTTCATTTCTGCCACAACTAAAAACAACAACTCCTAACACAGTGTTGCAAGCCTTTTAGAGGTTTTTCAATGTGTGTGAGTCAACATGCAAATAGAAATTGGATCATTCCACTTTGTAACATTCTTTTCTTCGTTAATATAATATCTTATTTATCACATTATCCTAAATTGTTTTTCATAACTAGAAAGTATTTCATTGAAAGAATGTTCCCCTATGTACTTAACCAAAAACCTGTTCATTGGACCTTTAGCTTATGTTTTTTTTTGCTATTCAAATGTTTGGGCTCAATATTGGTGTATATTTTAAATTATTTATTAAATACCTTCTTTTATAATATATTCCTAAAGTGATATTTTACTAGCATTATAATTTCTCAGCTTCTCAAGAAATCAGAAAAGGGAGAGGAGTCAAGCCCTGAGAAGCCAAAAGAAAGAGGAGAGGAAATTGACACCAGAGATGGGAAACAGGAACCCGGTCCCAGCCGTGTAGTCGTGAAGCCCAAGCCCTTGGAGAGCTCGCTGCAGGAGCTCAGGGAAAAGTGAGCCATGCTTTTGTTTCTCTGACCATGTTAAGCACCCAAGGTTGTCATCGAGTTGTGGTTGTATATCCTTTGTCAGTATGAGTGCTTATGTTTCATAATCTACTTGGAATTCAAGAGTCTGCTGGGATGTGCTTGCCCACACCTTTGTCTCTCCTTGGTGAACTGTTCGGTCTGCATCCTCAAGGCTGTCTTCAAACAGGGAAGTGTCCTGGTATTGTTTCCTCCATATCTCCTCTCCTGGTTACTCTCTTGGATTCCTGCCTTTGCACTTCCCATCTTCAAGATCTCCTTCCCACTCTCTTTACTTGGTGATTTTTATCAGTTTGTAATTTTCCTCTGTGTTTTGAGATATCTTGCCCATTTGATATTCCAGACCTCCTTCAGTGTAGCTGCAGAATCGTAAATTGGAGAGCCCAGCCTTTTAGGCGCTGGAGATCTTCTGTGATACAGAAATAGAGTCCCAAGTGCTGCCCTTTCTCTGTTGGAGTGGTCAGTCCTCCGGTCCCGCCAGGATCTGCCCAGCAGCCGTGGATGCTGGTGTCCACTGGCTGCTCACGCACAGCGGCTCATGAGAGGAGTTTGAGCAGTGCCCTGTGGACGGGATACACGGCAGCCTCTGAGCAGGGAGCCCCTCCCTCCTGGGTCCACAGTCAGGGGGCCGTGTGCAGCTGGGATTCTTGTTCCCCTGACCCAGGGCTCCTACCCACGTCCTGCATGTGCTTCCTGGAGCCCAGGACCACTCTGCTCAGAGGGGTGGCTAGAAGTAGATTTGAGTTTGGAGGGGAAATGGCAGGGTCATGGGATTAGGCTGCTTTTTGCCCAGAATCACAGTACTCGGAATGACTTCTTACTACCCTTCTTACTTCTTACTACTTCTTACTACTTACTTCTTACTTCTTACTTTTTCTTGCACAGTTGTGATAAAGGTTTTCTTTCTTCTTTATAGGCATTCTGGTTAATTGGTTTGTTTATAAGATTAATTTGTACATGACTATCAAATCTATGACCGCTCGGGTTTATGTTACAGGCATATCTCTTATTATTGCTTATGATACAGCAGTGCCTTTGTCATGTTTCTGGCGCAGATTTGTGCTCGTAGCTCTTTTTGTTCCCATCAGCCCCGCTGCCATTGTGTGCGGGGAGCCACAGACATACGGTATGTGAGGCTTGTGGAGAGAAAGACTTTAAGAACCAGATGAGCTAAGCAGCCACTTATTTACTTACTATTCATTTAACAGTTTGATATGTGCATGCGTTAATTTTTTAAGTTAATTTTAGCTCTGCTTGGAACAGAAACTCAGCTGTAAATACCAGCTCTGTGTCACGATGGATGTGCATCTGGGCTGCTAGGAAAGTCCCTTGAGTACTTTTAGTCTCATTTACTTTATCTGTAAAAAAAAGGGAGGATTATATTTACTAAGAATTATAAAAATATGTGTATATGGTACCTTAGCATAGTGCCTATTACATATGTGTGACTCAAGTGTAACAGTAAATATTGTTATTACTGTTGTTTATTCATGTTTTCAAAAGTTTCTTATTGAATGCCTGTCGTGTGCCCATCATGTGCAAACTTGGCACTGCAGTGATGAGAAGACTTATATATCCCCTGCCTGTTTTTGAACTTGTCGTCTGGAAGGGAAGACAGGTCATCGACAAGCAGTTTATGTAAGGTTATTGATAATTTGTGTTGAATCACAGGTCACAAAATGACAGTGATAAAGAGCAAAGGAACGTGGAGAGAAGATTCCGAGAAAAAGAACTTGAGGCACAAAGCTACCACTTGGGTGACAGCAGAAAACATAGAGCTCCCTATGAGTTGCCTAAGTTTTCAGGAAGAAGCAAAGAGGAGCTGAAAAGGGGAAAAGGATCCACCCCAGACCGAGGGCAGAAGGGGCGCCAGGCCCGGGGCGGCCCTGTGGGGGCAGCAGAGATGCCAGGAAGGGAGAAGAGCGCAGGCGGGCAGGCGCCCAAGGACACGGGAAGCAGTAAGGTTCCTTGTTCGCTGGGGATAGGCTTTCGCTTTGTTTTCGTCTGCTCACAGTACCCGCTGTGATCCTGCAGGCTTACAGCTGCTTTTCCAAACAGAAATGTTTTATCTAACCAAGAGGCTTGAGGTGTCTCGAGGTGCAGGATCGTAGCTTCCGACAGCGTCCTAGGGAGCTCACTGCCCTGAGAGTCTGTATTTGCAGAGCAGTTATTCTTGTCCCGTGAGAGGGCACCAAGTCCTGAAATGAAACCAGCATCAACTTTTCTCAGAGAATCAATTTTTTTTTTAACCAGGAAAGAAAAAGAACCTTTTATTTAGTATAAAACTGGCACATTCACACTATTTGCCTGAGAATAAGTAACGGAAAGATTATTCATTTTACCCCTAAGACAGTAAGGAAAATATTAATGACATGTCATGGTGCTTTCTTTTACATCACTAACAGAGTCACGATTTTTTTAAATTGAAGTTTAGTTGATTTACAATATTGTGTTAGTTTCAGGTGTACAGCAGACTGATTCAGACATTTTTTCCAGATTATATCCCAATATAGGTTATTACAAGATATTGAATATAATTCCCTGTGCTATACAGTAAATCCTTGTTGCCTATCTGTTTTTATGTATAGTAGTTTGTATCTGTTAATCCCATACTCCTAATTTGTCCCTCCCTCCTTCCCTCTCCTTTGGTAATCATAAGTTTGTTTTATGTGTCTGTGAGGCTGTTTCTGTTTTGTATATACATTCATTTGTATTATTTTTAGATTCCATATATAAGTGATATCATATAGTATTTGTCTTTCTCTGTCTGACTTAACTTCACCTAGTATGACAATCTCTGGGTCGATCCATGTTGCTGCAAATGGCAGAATTTCATTCTTTTTTATGACTGAGTAATATTCCGTTGTATATATACCACATCTTCTTTATCCATTCATCTGTTGATGAGCATTTAGGTTGCTTCCATATCTTGACTGCAGCAAGTCCCCTACATATGAATGAGTTCCATTCTTAGAGCATGTTCATAAGTCCAATTTGTAAGTCCGACAGAGTTAGCCTAGGTACCCAACTAACACAATCGGCTGTATAGTACTGTACTGTAATAGGTGTATAATACTTTTCACACAGATAATATATTAAAAAATACAAAAAATAAAACATTTTTAATCTTACAATACAGTACCTTGAAAAGTACAGTAGCCCAGTACAACAGCTGGCATCCAGGGGTTGGCATCAAGTGAACAGGCAAGAAGAGTTACTCACTGGAGGCGGGAGAGGAGGTGGGAGATGGTAGAGCTGAAGGGTCGTCAGCAATAGGAGATGGAGGGCAAGCTGCAGTTTCACTCACACCTGACGCCGATGGAACACACGTTTGCATCTTTGAAATTTCGCAACTTGAACGTTCGTATGTAGGGGACTTATGTATTGTAAATAGTGCTGCTGTGTACATTGGGTGCACGTGTCTTTTCGAAGTAGAGTTTTTGTGTTTTCCAGATTTATGCCCAGGAGTGGTATTGCTGGATCATATGGTGGCTCTATTTTTAGTTTCTTAAGGAACCTCCATACTGTTTCCCATAGTGGCTGCACCAATTTACATTCCCACCAACAGTAAACGAAGGTTCCCTTTTCTCCACACCCTCTCCAGCGTTTACTGTTTGTAGACTTTATAATGATGGCCATTTTGCCCAGTGTGAGGCGATACCTCATTGTGGTTTTGATTTGCATTTCTCTAATAATTAGTGACGTTCAGCATCTTTTCGTGTGCCTGTTGGCCATCTGTATGTCTTCTTTGGAAAATGTCTATTTAGGTCTTGTGCCAATTTTTTTGGATTGGGTTGTTTGTTTTTTTGATACTGAGTTTTATGAGTTGTTTATGTATTTTGGATATTAACCCCTTGTTTGTCACATCATTTACAAATATTGTCTCCCCTTCTGTAGGTTGTCTTTTCATTTTGTTGATGGTTTCCTTTGCTGTGCAAAAGCTTTTAAGTTTAATTAGGTCTCATTTGTTTATTTTTGCTTTTATTTCTTTTGCCTTGGGAGACTGACCTAAGAAAATATTGCTACGATTTCTGTTGGAGAATGTTTTGCCTGTATCCTCTTCTAGGAGTTTTATGGTGTCATGTCTTATATTTAGGTCTTTAAACGATTTTGAGTTTAGTTTTGTATATGGTGTGAGGGAGTGTTCTAATTTCACTGATTACATGTAGCTGTCCAGCTCTCCCAACACCCCTTGCAGAAGAGACTGTCTTTTCTCCATTGTATATCCTTGCTTCCTTTGTCATAGATTAATTAACCATAGGTGTGTGGGTTTATTTCTGGGCTCTCTATTCTGTTCCATTGATACATAGGTCAGTTTTTTGTACCATGATGCTTTGATTACTGTGGCTTTGTAGTATAATCTGGCATCTGAAAGGGTTATGCCTTCAGCTTTGTTCTTTTACCTCAGGATTGCTTTGGCACTTCTGGGCCTTTTGTGGTTCTGTATATATTTTAGGATTATTTGTTCTAGTTCTGTGACAAATGTCATGGGTATTTTGATAGGGATTGTATAAAATCTGTAGATTGCTTTGGGCAGTATGGCCATTTTAACAGTATGAATTATTCTGATCCAAGAGCATGGGAAATCTATTTCTTTTTTTTTTTTTTTTTTGCGGTACGCGGGCCTCTCCCTGCTGTGGCCTCTCCCGCTGCGGAGTGCAGGCTCCGGACGTGCAGGCTCAGTGGCCATGGCTCACGGGCCTAGCCGCTCCGTGGCATGTGGGGGCTTCCCGGACCGGGGCACGAACCCACGTCCCCTGCATCAGCAGGTGGACTCTCAACCACTGCGCCACCAGGGAAGCCCTCTATATCTTTGTATCATCTTCAGTTTCCTTTATCAATGTTTTATAGTTTTCAGCATGTAGATCTTTCACCTCCTTGGTTAAATTTATTCCTGGGTATTTTATTTTTTGACAGGATTTTAAATGGGATTGTTTCTTTACTTTCTCTTTCTGATTTTTCATTGCTGGTGTAAAGAAACACAACAGATTTCCGTATATTAATTTTGTATCCTGCTACCTTGCTGAATTCATTTATTAGTTCTAATAGTTATGTGTAGAGACTTTAGGTTTCTCCACAGAAAGTATCATGCCATCTGCAAATAATGACAGTATACCTCTTCCCTTCCAATTTGGATACATTTTATTTTTCTTGTCTGATTGCTGTGGCTAGGACTTCCAATACTATGTTGAATAGAAGTGGTGAGAGTGGGCATCCTTGTCTTGTTCCTGAATTTAGAAAGAAGGCTTTTAGGTTTTCACCATTGAGTATTATGTTGGCTGTGGGTTTGCCATAAATTGCTTTTATTATGTTGAGATATGTTCCCTCTATACCCACTTTGGTGAGAGTTTTTATCATGAATGGATGTTGAATTTTGTCAGATGCTTTTTGTGCATCTACTGAGATAATCATGTGGTTTTTCTCTTTCTTTTTGTTAATGTGGTGTATCACATTGATGGATATGTATATGTTGAACCATCCCTGCAAGCCTGGAATGAATCCAACTTGATCATGGTGTAATGATTCTTTTTATGTGTTATTGGATTTGATTTGCTAATATTTTGTTGAGGATTTTAACATCTATATTCATCAAAGATATTGGCCTATAATTTTCTTTTTTTGTAGTGTCTTTGTATGGTTTTGGTATCAAGGTGAGGGTGGCTGCATAGAATGAATTTGGGAGTGTTCCCTCCTCTTCAGTTTTTTGGAATAGTTTTAAAAGGATAGGTATAAGTTCTTCTTGTATGTGTGGTAGAATTCCCCACTGAAGCTGTCTGGTCCTGGACTTCTGTTTGTAGGGAGTTATTTTTTATTACAGATTCTATTTCACATCCACTGATTCGTCTGTTAAAATTATATGTTTCTTCTTGACTCAGTTTTGTTAGGCTGTATATTTCTGGAAATTTGTCCATTTCTTCTAGGTTGTCCAATTTGTTGGCATATAACTGTTCATAATGTTCTCTTATGACTTGTATTTCTGTGGTATTAGTTTTTATTTTCATGTCTTTCATTTCTTATTTTATTTATTTGGGTCCTCTCTCTTTTCTTGGTGAGCCTGGCTAGAGGCTTGTCAATTTTATTGATCTTTTAAAAAAAACAGCTCTTGGTTTTATTGATCGTTTCTGTTGTTTTTATTAATCTCTATTTCATTTATTTCCTCTCTGATCTTTAGTATTTCCTTCCTTCTGCTAGCTTTGGGTTTTGTTTGTTCTTGTTTTTCTAATTCTTTTAGGTGGTAGGTTAGGTTGTTTATTTGAAATTTTTCTTGTTTCTTGAAGAAGGCCTGTATCACTATGAACTTGCCTCTTAGAACTGCTTTTGCTGCATCCCATAGATTTTTGGAAGGTTGTGTCTTCAATTTTTTTTGACTCAAGGTATTTTCTGATATCTTCTTTGATTTTATCGTTGACCCATTGGTTTTTTAGTAGCATGTTGTTTAGTCTCCATGGGTTCATTCTTTTCCCATTTTCCTTTCTGTGGTTGACTTCTAGTTTCATACCATTGTGGTCACAAAAGATGCTTGAAGTAATTTCTGTCCTCTTAAATTTGTTGAGGCTTGTTTTGTCACCTAATACATGGTTTGTCCTAGAGAACGTAACATGTACACTTGAAAAGATGTGTATTCTGGGTTTTTTTGGATGCAGTGTCCTGTAGATATCAGTTAAGTCCAACTGGTCTGTTGTGTCATTTAGGATTTCTGTTGCTTGATTTTCTGTCTGGATGATTGGTCCAGGGATCTGATGTCAGTGGGGTGTTAAAGTCTCCTGCTATTATTATATTATTGTCAATTTCACACTTTATGTCTGTTAGTATTTGTTTTACATATTTAGGTGCTCCTCTATTGGGTACATGTATGTTAGCAAGTATAATATCCTCTTCTTGTATTGATCCCTTTATCATTATATAATACCCTTCATGGTCTTTCTTTACGGCCTTTGTTTTAAAGTCTAATTTGTCTGATATGAGTATTGCTACTCCCGCTTTCTTGTCATTTCCATTTGCATGAAATATCTTTTCCCATCCCCT